GCTGTACTTGGCTTCAGATCTGCCTAAAGTTTCCTATGATGTCTACAGAAAATTATTCAAGTCAACAAAGAAAAAGTTCCATGCTCCAAAATCAGATGGTTGTGATACCTGTGACACTCTGAAGGTCCAAATTGCTGCAGCTGTTGGGGAGGAGAAAACCAAACTGGAGTCCACGAAGGAGCTTCACAATCGTAAGGCTGACAAGGCATATCTGCTCAAACGTGAAGCTAAGGCAGCTGCTGAAAAGGACAAGACAAAGAGAGTTCTCATTTTCGACCTGCAGCAGTGTCTTCCTACCCCTCATCTCAAATGTAAAAAAATATACTATTCCAGGCAGTTGAATGTATTAAATTTTACAATCTATGACTCCACTACAAAACTGACTCACTGCTACATGTGGAGTGAAATAGAAGGTCGAAGAGGAAGCAATGAAATAGCCTCATGCTTACTGGATTACATCTTGAAAGAAGTTCCCTCCGAAGTTAAAGAGCTCAAACTGTTTTCCGACTGTTGTTCAGGGCAAAACAGAAATAGCACTATAGCTATGATGTTGTTCCTTGCTCTTCAGGAACACCCTTCCATCCAGCAGATTGACCACATTTTCCTTGTACCAGGACACACCTTCATGCCTGAAGTAGACAGTAAACATTCAGTTATTGAGAAATACAAGAGGAAACTTGAAAAAGTTAACGTACCCGATGAGTGGTATGAACATGTTGACAAAGCAGGAAGAACAGATAAAAAAAATTTTCCTGATGGAAAATTTAGAGTTCACCACATCACCAAATTTTTAGACATCTCATCTCTTGCCTCAGGCCCCTTGGTCAAGAGAACTGTGTGCATTGACAAGCAGCCAATGAATTATTTGGATACTCACTGGTTCAAGTACATCAAGGGAGAAGAAGGCCATGTTCATGTGAAACACAACTTCAATGAGGAAACTGCTTTCAAGACTTTGAGCTTCCTTCGTATAGGACAAAAGTGTGGACAGCTTCCAAAACTCCTCGCCACGTTGCCTACAACACAGGAAGGACCCTTACCCATCTCTCATGCAAAACAGAATGACTTGCTGAATTTACTACCTTTCCTAGATAATAAGTACCATAAATTCTATCAATCCATCAACTCATTGCCAGATGTTGTGGATTAATCCTAGTCATAGAACTTCTATAAAATTAATTTTGTGTCCATGAACTTAAGTGTGCATAACTGTGTGATTATTTTACTATAACTTTATCAATGTGTTGTTTATCAAAAATATTAATTTTGATAGTTTCCTCAAGTCATTTGATTATGCGCATGTATTTATTTATTTATAT